CTTACCAAATGTTTCGCTTTACTTTAATATTTTCATAAACGAGATAATACTATATCCTCAGTATTATCCTTGTGAGAGAAACGAGATAATACTATACCCTCAGTATTATCCTTGTGAGAGAAACGAGATAATACTATACCCTCAGTATTATCCTTGTAGAAAACTAGATAATACTATACCCTCAGTATTATCCTTAAAGAGAAACTAGATAATCCTATATCCTAAGTATTACCCTTGTTTATCACGAGATAATCCTATATCCTCAGTATAAATAAGAGAGAAAACGAGATAATCCTATATCCTAAGTATTACCCTTGTGAGAGAAACGAGATAATCCTATATCCTCAGTATTATCCTTGTGAGAGAAACGAGATAATACTATACCCTCAGTATTATCCTTGTGAGAGAAACGAGATAATCCTATATCCTCAGTATTATCCTTGTGAGAGAAACGAGATAATCCTATATCCTCAGTATTACCCTTGTGAGAGAAACGAGATAATCCTATATCCTCAGTATTATCCTTGTGAGAGAAACGAGATAATCCTATATCCTCAGTATTATCCTTGTGAGAGAAACGAGATAATCCTATATCCTCAGTATTATCCTTGTGTGACGTCGCCCCCCCTGGTCGCAGCGTCGACTCTGTCGTTCGATCTCGTTCGCGGCTCCAGTTGTGACGTCACGTGGCTGCCTAAGGGTCGATCCTTTGATCACGGAACCAGTTGTGACGTGACTTGGCTGCCCAAGGGTCTGATATCCTGGTCACGGACAGCACCAGTTGTGACGTTTTTGCCGCGGCGTCAGCTGTTCGCTCCTCGCTGCTCCAAGTGTGACGTTCCAACCCTTTGGTTAGATGATTACCAGCCTCGCCGTTCCCAACTCGCTTCCAACACCTGGTTGCTAGGGTAACTGCACTGACCTCCGGTCTGCCTACCCACGTTGTGATTAGATCTTAGACAGACGGGATCAAACAGGGATTGGGGCCGTATGCAAGCTGGGTCCAACGGGGGTGACAACACACAAGAAAAAGAAAAACTCACGAGGCCAAAAATTACTGATAAAAAAGGGTAACAACCTTTTATATCTAAATATTCGTTACATAAAAATTATTCCTACTTCCCGACCCGTTTTGTGGACTGTGGCACCAAGCTTCTACCATACAACTTAAAGACTTCGAGTTGCCTACTTTCTAGAAATTTGCATGTCGGGGTGTGGTTTGGTTTCGACACTGGGCGCTGATCTCTACCAGTCGTTCACGGCTGATTCTACTTGCCGTCAGTGTGCGAATTGACTTCTTCTCTTCGGCTTGAGTTGGACGAATTTCTTCACTTCGATTTGGGTTGTACGAATTTCTTCTAGGCGCAACTGCAAGTAATTTCTTCTCTTCGGCTTGCAACTCTTCTCGTCAAGGTCCGAACTCTTCTCTCTGCCGTCCGGGGCTGAACTCTTCTTAGGCTCTCGGGCAATTTTCTTCACTTCAACTTGGGCTGGGCGAATTTCTTCACTCCGGGTTCTCTTGCCCGCAAAGGAGCGAATGAACCGGGCCGGCGCCCGCGTTCAAGCTCCCTCGCTGTCCGCGGTCCAGCTGCAACTCACTTCTGTCGACTGGGGTCCTGCTTTTAATGACGCCGTAACAAACTGGGGTGGGTCTGTCGGCGCCAGGGCTTTTCTTGATAATTCCAAAAGTCGCATTATTTCTGATTTCCCATTATCGCTCTTACTTTCACTCCTACTTCCTTACAGTGCCTCTGGGCGGGGAGGCGCATACCCGTTTCCCCTGGTCTCTCGTATGTCAGGTGACCGCTTTCGACCAATGGAGTCCTGGTCGAGCGTCTTTCCTCTTCCCTCGCACATCACGTGACCGCTCTCGGCTAATGAGATTCTGGTCGGGCGTCTCTCCCTCCTTCGTGACGTCTCCAATCGGGCGTGGTCAATCCGGGGCTTTGTTCTGGGGAAGAAACACCTTGTTTAAAAAAACAAAATTTAAATTGTCCTTTTCGTATACGTGGTATTTGTCAAAATAGCCCGCCGCTAATTAGATGTGACTTCAGGAAGAATTTTTCTCGTCCTGCCGGCGCCCTCTGTGAGCTAAAACAATTGCTTTCACTTCTTTCTTTCGCTAACAACTGGTTAATAAACCGAATAAAAATTAAATCATATTTCTATGAATATCTCTTTTTAGTCTTTCTAATAATGCAGGGTGCCACACTTGTGAGAGAAACGAGATAATCCTATATCCTCAGTATTATCCTTGTGAGAGAAAATTATGGCAAAAACAATGAATATCATTGAATTCGATCCCTCGAAGGTTAAGCCACATTCCGCGAATTATGTACAAAGAGAAACTAATTTTGACACCCACTTATTTATATACAAATAATCGTTTCTTCTATGTGACGTGTGCTTTCAGGGGATGGTCGTTGATCTTAGTAAAGTTTGTATGCTACTAACCCTCCTAATCGCTGCTCTGTTATCCATTTAAAAGCTTGGGAATGCCGGGTGTTGTAAGCTTGGATGTGCAGATGGTGCAATGGATAACGGCTCTGAATTGTTAGTCGGGTGCCGACTTCCAATTGTGGTTTATTATATTTATTTACGCGCAATTACCCTTAAGAATGGTACGAATCAAATTTTCTCCTAGCTATGACTTAATTAGTAAGACTCATCTCACTAAAACCATTATGATGTCCCAAATTTCAATATAATTCCGAGAAAAATATTTTAATTTCAGCATTAAATAATCCGTAGAGATTGATATGCCACTAAACAAAAAACTGCATCACTTTACAAAAACTCGTTAGATAATTAACTCGCCGTTTTTCTTTCAATCTCTTGCCTCCTATATGTCTTGTGAGTGTCAAATTTTCCAAGTCTCCTCTCATTGTGCTCCAGAAATTTTCAAGTATGTTATCTTTTTGTTTAATAGTTCTCTCTCTTGTCAAATCCTTTTCTCGTATTCAGTGCAATCACAGACAGGACAAATTTGAACTGCTGAAATATTGCAAATGTTTTCATTTTGCTTTAATACAGTAACCCGTTTACAATGGCGACGTTTCTCTTCCTTGAAACTATACATACAAATTAAGGCTTTTAATATTAAATTACAAATTAAATAGAAATATGCATAGACAAAAATAAAATATCTATGTGCACACCTGATTGTCACTCGTTGACGTGGTGGAGTGACTTGAGTAGTCTAATGACTCTGAAAACGATGCCGTCGGAAGTTCTAAAGACCTGGGGGCACCCTTGGCGGCAAGGTGAAAGAGGAGGACCCAGACAAGTCACAATAACCCCGAAGACCTCAACGTTGAAACAAAATGATGATGATTATAAAAGATCTCAACGCTTGAACCAGCAGGTGAAGAGGGCAATGCATGACGGATATCGCTACACAAGGCGTCAATCGATATTATAATAGTCAGCGGCAGTCCGTTGCAGTTTCATAACTGGATTCTGCATATCTCAATCCGTATATGCCGTAGGGGAAGTCATGAAATCAAGTGTGTGGTCGCTTCCTAGTAAGTTGGGGTCCACCTAAAATAAATTCAAGTCAACAGCACTTTGTCCTACTCTGATTTTCTTTCACCGTTTAACCAAAGCCAAACGGCGATAGGGAATGAATAACGGGAGCAGGTTTTAGTGAAACTGTAAGCTTCTAGTCCTGGAGTTCCACGTTAGGTTAGCGACGAATACAGTATTCATCATCATCATAAAGGAAACGAACAGCAAAGAAGAAATTAAATTCTTGGATACGAGATAAAGCCGACGACGACAAGAAGAAATTACAATAATTGGTTCTACCTTTTAATGTGACGAGTTGGTCCTACACTCCAGTTATCGTTAGATTGTTATGTCTTAAAAGTAAATTCAAATAAACGCAACAGTGTCTATTTGCAGAGATAATTTCAAGCGAGTTAATATCAGAATAATGTGTAATGGCCTCGTTGTAACAAAAGGTCTTCATTGGTAAGATTAGGTTAAACTGATAGCATTTTGGGAAGGATTGTTATTGTCCGATAATAATAATTCTATAGAAAGTAGCAAACAAGAGTGTGGAGAATAAATAGTACAGGAATCCAACGAGGACGAGTAGAAAAGTAATACATTTTATACCGCTTTTTATTGCTAGTTTTCTGGATTTACTTCATTAGATAAAAGTAGGATGTGCAATAATTTTTAATTAACTGGAAAACGAGGTGTTAAAACTACAACTTTAAAGTAAGAAACAAGAAATAAAGGAGAAGCGTAATCAGAAAATATAATTTGAAATATGAAACCATTGATGGTCTTTGGAAAAGAACTCGCTATATGTTTATTCATGCATCAAACTTCAACTTAACTTGAGCAGTAAAATATAAACTATTGTTTTTTATAAATTCGTTATTTTCCTGAACTGTTTTGACTATTAATGCCAAGAATTCCGTCTCCTTTTTATTTCGCAGCTCCGCGTTAATTTTATAACAAGTATTTCATTGAAATCTTCTTTTCTTCTTTAACTGCACTGCGTTAAATATGTCTGATTTTTTTTTTTTCGCTTAAACAAACGAGGCTACATATATTGTCTTTACAGATTCCATCACCTTTACTGGAAGTAGTTAGTATATGTCACTAATCATGAACGTTCCGTCTAGGGATCAAGTTGCCAAGATGACGCAAAACCTTCCCTGATAAGTTAACGATAAAGAAAATTGCAAAGTCGGCGCTGTTTTTCTACTCCTACAAGAACACTGAATGTTTTAGACGTTTGATTGGTAGATTAGTTTTCTACAGCTTGTCAACCTATTTCGGGTTACTTAAAAAAATCTTACAATATTTTCCGGTTTTAAGACCGTGTTTAGTGATAAAAGTATTACTAATTATCCCATAGCTGGCGAGAGAAGCGGTAGATTCGTACATTTCGTGAGTGAATATAACGAACCCAACTGAAATTTGAACTCTGCTCTCCTATTAACAATTCTGAACCATTATCTATTACACTGTCCGCACATCCAAGGTTACAGCACATGGTCTTCTCATGCGGTCACCCATCTAGGTACTGACCAGGCTCGACGTTGCTTAACTTCGGTGACCGTACGGGAACATGTTTCAACGTGATATGGCAGAAACCTGTTTTAGAAGTGATTCATTAGGAAATACTGATGCATTTTATCCCCATGCAGAATAAGAGATGGCCTAAAAACCTGTCCTGCAAAATTTTTTATTAATAAATTTACAATAAATTGACAACATTGCCATTTCACTGAAACAGGCTTTAACGCATTTTATCTTTTCTTCGTCCTTTTTATTTTGCTCACTCAAACCAAGTGGCGTCAGTGTTATTTCGGCTCCGGTAAAAATTGAATAGACCATTATTTATTAGGTATTGGCACAGCGTAACGGTCGTGCGGTCTAAGGAACGTACTAACGAAGGGGATGCAAGCAGAATTGTAATAGATATTTCGGACAGAATTTATGTAATGCTATGTAAACAAACATTTATTAGACAGAAGAAAATACAAGAAAAAAATCACCTTAAATGGCAATTCTAAAAATAAATTGATATATTAAAATGGGGAAAATAAAACCCTAGAAACTGCTGACCGGTTTTTCTTCTTCTCTCGTCAGAGCTTGATCCAGTTAAAATTACATGCACCACAACTAAACAAGTTGTAAACTATATGTTCTTGTTCTTAAACTGGTTTCTCCGTTGTTAATTGTCTTGTTTTTAAACACCATCCACTTTCAATAACATATCGGACCATAATTCTCGAAAGATGGACAACAGTGTTACTTTTCAGGCAATAGTCCAAAAGCGTCTCTGCTATCCTCTGTCTTTCTAACAGCCAGATCAGGCCGAATGGGCTGCCATATAGGCAAGAGGCTGCCCAGTGTTCACTTTTCAGTCGCAATAGTCCAAAAGCGTCTCTGCTATCCTCTGTCTTTGTAACAGCCAGATCAGGCCGAAAATTGAGTATTGCTGCCATATATAGGCAAGAGGCTGCCCAGTGTTCACTTTTCAGTCGCAATAGTCCAAAAGCGTCTCTGCTATCCTCTGTCTTTGTAACAGCCAGATCAGGCCGAAAATTGAGTATTGCTGCCATATATTGTTCACTTTTCAGTCGCAATAGTCCAAAAAAGCGTCTCTGCTATCCTCTGTCTTTTGTAACAGCCAGATCAGGCCGAAAATTGAGTATTGCTGCCATATATAGGCATGCCCAGTGTTCACTTTTCAGTCGCAATAGTATGCTATCCTCTGTCTTTGTAACAGCCAGATCAGGCCGAAAAAATTGCTGCCATATATAGGCAAGAGGCTGCCCAGTGTTCACTTTTCAGTCGCAATAGTCCAAAAGCGTCTCTGCTATCCTCTGTCTTTGTAACAGCCAGATCAGTATTGCTGCCATATATAGGAGATTTGTTCACTTTTCAGTCGCAATAGTCCAAAAGCGTCTCTGCTATCCTCTGCCTTTGTAACAGCCAGATCAGGCCGAAAATGGAGTATTGCTGCCATATATAGGAAGACGCTGCCCAGTGTTCACTTTTCAGTTTCAATAGTCCAAAAGCGTATTCACGTGCGTAATGAATTATTTTCCACCCCCACACTTCATGGAATTTGTTCAAAACTATATTACTTTACCGGAAAGGTTAGAACTGGTGAAACTAAGACCAGCCATGCTAGGCACATTTTAGAGAACAACCTTTTCTATTACAACGGTGAGATCTAAATTCCGTTCGAGCAACTTCTTCCCCCGAACCGATGCTAAGTGGAACCGACTTCCTAGATCACTGCAATCATAACCTGTTCAATTCTAGAGTTAACTGTTGTCTTCCCCCACATATCACCATAAACTGTGCCTCTTACACGGTAACGCTCTACCTAGAGTGGCTTGTGCCTTTTAGTTCTAAATACGTCCACTGCACATATGCAGATGGGTAAACCCCTACCTGTTTGCGGTGGGTGGCGACCCGTGATGTCTGGGGACAGGATCCTTGTGGTTGGGGGTTTCAGTTGTCGGGGTGATGCACTTCCGATTCCCAGCATACCACTTTGACCCTACATGGACTTGACAGGCGGTCGGAGAGGCCCGATCCGATCAATCGATTGGTCAGGTCAAGCACTAACGCCTATAACGATACCAAATTGAGTATTTTAAGGAAACTTTACCCAAATGAACTATTGGTTGAATAACAATTTAACCTAATTTATAGGCGTTAGAATGCGCTGGCCGGGGGCCAATCGGTTCGTAGAGGAATTTAGGTTTGGACATAGCTGTTAACCGTTCAACTTGTTCATTGAAAAATTGGGTAGTGAAACAAATGTGGTGACAGTTGCTCAGGGCTTCTCACGAATACTAGTATGCCGGGTTGTGTAGCCCTAAACTGTCAAGGCAATTGGGTTTCCCCCTTGACATGTCCCAGCGTTCGGCTCCGAGGTGGGTCGGAAGCAGAGACATTGAAATTTCATTCATATAAATTATGAATCAAAATAAAAACCCCAACCGATACTTTTCGGATTAAGATTCTGAAAAAAGAAACTAAAACGAACTTTCCCTGATTTTTGTCCTCTTAGAACGAAACTCCTTTGTCGCGATTCTCCCTTTTCTTGGTTGAGAAAATATTGTCCAGTCGAATTAATCCGAAATCAGTTAGAAAGTTGAGAGACAGCAATTTGATGACGGAGGTTGAAACCAGAAAACACGGGAATCTATAATGAAAATAAAGACTTTTCAAAATGTGAATATTAAAACTTTCCCCCACAAAAAAATAAATACACCAAACGCAGTGATTAGAAGTAAAGTGCTCTCTCTGGCCATACCAGAAGAAATTTCATCTAGCTTCGATACTGAGGGAGTCTCTGATTACCGAAGAATTTCTATTAAAAGAAATGGTGGATACATGCATCCTTACGTTTAAATCATCTAAGATTCCATCTAAAATCAAAATAGGCTACCATGTCGAACCAGTGGAGTTATATATCCTGGCTCCTCTAAGATGTTTTAGATGCCAAAAATTTGGACATCCCAGATAGCTGTACAAGTTGCCCTACAAGCGAAAAATGTGACCAAAAAGGCTATGATCATGGGGAATAGGGGTGTCAGGATTAAATTAAATGCGCAAATTGGGAGGAAAATCATCCAGCTTAAGACAAACATTATAGATGTGAAATATAAACGGGACATTTCTTTTACAGAAGCAGAAAAAGTAGTTAAAGGGTACATGATGGGCTCTTCCTACGCAGGTGTAGTGGATAGGACATGTTTAAATAACTCCAATCAGACTGACAATTATACGGACCTTATTGAGTCTCGTATGCTTGGCGCAGAATGTGTGACCAATTTTCAATAAAATTAAAAAGAAATATATTACAAAGAATTAGGACAGACTGAACCAGAAAAAGGTTAAAAGGAAAAGGTAACTGTCAGTAAGAGTATAACATCTTCTCAGACCGAAATCTCTCCTCCCCAAAAATGTTAAGCCATCTGCAGAGCAAAGGTCACAGGTCGCCTATTGGTCCACAAAATTCCATAAACACTATATTAAGTGCATCGGAATCGATCAAACAAAAGTTGGAAATCCGTAAGGTCCAAATCTCTACTAAAAATCGGTTTGATAAGTTGGAAGAGATGGAAGTAGATAGCCAAAACCCACAAAAGTGTCAGCGATTCTCAATTAAAACAAATTAAAAACTAATAAGCCATAAACACGAGAGTACAAGTATGTAAAAGATAATGCAATGGAATGCGGTGGAATGAAGGCAAATATTAATGAGTTAATTCTGTTGATAACAGACCTGACTCCGTCAGTTATTTGCCTTCAGGAAACCTTTCTTAAAAGGGGTAATAAAAGAAATATTAGAGAGTACCAGCAATACAATTATATAAATGATTTCTGGTCTTCGGGCATCAGGTGGTACAGCCATCCTAGTCAGGACTGATGCTCTACAAAAATTTAGATGAACTTAAAAACAAATTTACAGGTGATAGCTGTAAAAATAACGCCACATAGATCAGTTAACATCTGCTTGGTGTATATTCCACCGAATGGAGAGAAAAATGAAACCGAATTGCAGAAAACTGTAAGGCAACTCCCTGCTTCTTTTATGTTACTAGGGGATTTTCATTGTCACCGCAGCATATGGGGCTGTTAAAGATACAAACCAGAAAGCAATGAGTACGGAATCTCTTATAAATAATGAAAAGTTGTGCATCTATAATGATAAATCCCCCAAATTATATATAATCAATTCTTTGGCTGTTACTCTGAAATAGGTGGATCGCTCAAAGATAAATCTATCTTTATGGACTTTTCTGGAAGATAGTGATGGACACATGTGTTAGCGATCATTTTCCAATTGTCGGGCAAAATTTAGATCAAAGTGACAAAAATCCCTAACGTCTGAAATTGAGTAAAGCAAACTGGGGGGGGGATTTCAAAGACTATGTTCTAAAAAACTAAAAGAAGGATCATACATCAAGGACATAACATAGTTTACAGAAAACCTGCTCTATATAGCAAAAAAAAAAAGAATTTGAAAGAATAAAATAAAACGTAATAGACCTTGTTTAATGATGAGTGTAAAAGTCGTAAATAATAAAATAACCAGCAAAAACGAGATCGCTGACGAATTAGGAATAACCATCTCAAAAACTCATCAGCCAACAATGTTAGTCAACAATTTAAGTTCAAACAAAAAGTTGACAAAAAAAAAATGAACTTTAAATCCAAAAATGTTGAGAGCTACAATCTTTCATTTACGATAGAGGAATTGAATGAATCTGTAAAAAAAAAGCCCATAACACAGCTGTTTAACCAGACGATATTTCTTACCAATTCCTAAAGCAGCTGCCAAACAAATCGCTGCAAATGTTGCGAAAATTATTTAATAAGATATGGACAAGTGGTCACTTCCCAGATTTGTGGAGACAATCTTTTATCATTCCTATTCCGAAACCTGGGAAAGATGACTCAGAACTTGGAAATTACAGGCCCCGATAGCATTAACCAGTTGTCTGTGTAAAATCATGAAAAGAATGTTCAACAACAAATTGATTTGACATTTGGAAAAGAACTGCCTAATCAGTGATTACCAATGTGCATTTAGGAAAAAAAAAGTAGTAGCATGG